CCCCACCCTGACCATCCACGTCAGCCTTGGCACCTAAGGTTTAACCAACTCCTCCTTACCCACAGCAGGGCCTGGAAGGGTGTCTGATCCCAGGGATTTGGGAGAGCTCCCAGGCTAGCCCCCATCCCCCTGAGCACCCGCACACACTCCTTCAGCTCACAGGCGGCCGGGACCCAGCCCTCCCTGCCCAGCGTCTCTGGGTGGGGGCTCTACTTGAACTCTCTTCTGGGTTTCTCAAGCACGCCTTTCCCACTAGACACTTTCCAGGTTCCCTCGACCACGCCACTCTCAGATCAGCCACAGCACCCAGAACCCCAGTTAGGGGAAGACCATGGACCCTCCGCTTGCCTGGGGAGGAATTCAGAGCCATGCACACCTGGAGGTGCATTTACAACAAGTCTAAGTTGCATGGCAGAGTGGTTTAGAGGGCGGACGTTGGAGACAGCTGGGATTCGAATCCTGAACTATGCAGCTGTGGGGAAGGTTTGTGTTTTTTTTGTGAGGAAGATTGGCCATGAGCTAACATCCATTGCCAATCCTGCTCTTTTTGCTGAGGAAGATTGGCCCTGGGCTAACATTTGTGCCCATCTTCCTCTACTTTATATGGGACGCTGCCACAGCATGGCTTGATGAGCAGTGTGTATGTCCGTGGCCGGGATCCAAACCTGCGAACCCCAGGCTGCTGAAGCAGAGTGCACTTAACCACTACGTCACGAGGCCGGCCCCTTGTGGGGAAGTTTCTTAGCCTCCCTGTTCCTTATTGTTCCTACTGGGGAGTAGAGGGATTGCTGTATCTTATCTCACGGGCTTGTCATGAGGATTAACTGAAATAATAAAAGAGGATGCTGAGATGGGGTCTGGCCTTGAGGAAGAACCATAAATGTTGTCAGGAGGGCTTATGGCCAACCACTGTGCTTCCCGTCGCAGCTACGAAGAAGGAAACGACTGTTAGGATGACACGGTGCCAACGCTGTCACCAGCTTGTCCTCCGTCTCATCCTGCCCTCAGTCCCCCACCACCTCATCGCTGTGTTCTCTAGGTCTCGCCCCGCCCTCTTCCTGCACCCTGGGACTGTTGTTGACAGATTCAGTCCGCCCAGATTCTGGACGCCCTGTTTCCAATTTCGATTCTGCCATAGGGATGAGCAGAATGCATCCTTACTTCTTTATGTCCCAAATTTTCCGTCTGTCAAAGAAACCTCATTCCTGCCAAATACCTGTCCTCACAGAGATGGGGCCAGAATGAAACGTGTCTGCGCAACAGCTTGACATTTGGGAACGAAAGGAGCCACAGAAGCAGAAAGGATTCTGTCTATGTGTGATGGGGTTGAGTTTTTTGTTTTTAACAGGATGGCTGGAACCTGCAGAGACAATGAGCACGGCCTTCTTTCTACCAACATCTTGTCCCCGTGGGAGGGCCCTCGCCCTGTTCTAGCCTCTCTCCTCATGAAACCTCTGTGATTTAGGCTGAGCGTGCCTTCTGTCCCACAAATGGGACGCTGGCCCGAGAGCCCAGCCAGCTACTCGCGTGGGTCTTGGCCATGAGGTGATACGGACGTAATTGAGAGGCATCTGTCCTACGTCAGCAACCCTTAGTGTCACTGTCACTGCATCCATACAGTATGGTGACATTCCTTACATCGAGGCATCTCACACAGCGTGGGCCTCTCCTGCACATCCTGAAATTCTAAAATCGCTAATCTTTTCTGTAACAAACTCAGGGCTCAGCATATCGCATATTTCTATTCCAAGAGGAAGAAAAACTCAGGATGAGTAACCGGGGTTCCCTACAGATGGGTAGGTATTTGGGGCCAGATCCCACAAGTCCTGGCTTACATTCTCTACAGTTTAAAGTTTACTTGCCAATCTGTCGTCTGGTTATCCTGAGGTGGATGAAGAATAATCCAAACACTACCTGGTTTGTTTTTAATGGTTGACCAAACTGCTTTCCTGACCTGCCCTGAAGTTCTCTCACATATCCACTCCTCTTCTTGTTATTTCACACCCTGAAGCTAAGCAGAAAAACAGGGCCCTAAGGTCTCTATTTTTCAAGGACACATTTCGTTCTTGGAGGAGCAGATCCAGTCAAGGTCAACAGCACCAACTTCTGCTGGGGGAAGCGTCACTCTCCTCTCCGGCCTCCGGGGGGCGCTGGAGTGCCAATGAGTAAAGGATTGTTGTCAGCCAGGGAGTTAATCCACACTCAGTAAGAAGCAAACTCACTACCTTCACCCAGTGGGTGTCCACACTCACATTGGATTCTAAGAGGGGAAGCTGTCCTGACTCAGGAGCAGGAGAGTTCGGGAGGCTTGTGGTTGGCAATTATTCTAGAAATCACTTAAAAAGGAGACAAAGCTACACAAATGGAAAGAACAGAAAGATTTGCTCCAGCCACACCCCTCACCTTCTGGATGGAACAGCCATCCTCTTCGAGGCGCCTCCTCTGCCGTCGTTGGCAGACACTTGGCACTAAGACTCTATTTACAGAACTGAGCTGGCTTCACTCAAACGAGTGTCCACTGGTGACCACAGATGACAGCAGCTGGACTGAACCAATGAGAGAAATTAAATAAATTATATGACAGACAAAGGGGTTAAGGGAAGGAGAAATCAAGCGAGTAAGAGCAGGAACGAGAATGAATGAGACGTGCACTGCTTTTGTTACAACCGATAAAACTCATCCCTTCTAGAGCTGAAATCTGAGTCTACAAGATCATTCCTTCTAGAGCTGAAATCTGGGTCTACAAACTCATCCTTCTAGAGCTGAATTCTGGGTCTATAAACTCATTCCTTCCAGAGCTGAAATCTGGGTCTATAAACTCATCCTTCTAGAGCTGAAATCTGGATCTACAAACTCATCCTTGTAGAGCTGAAATCTGGGTCTACAAACTCATCCTTCTAGAGCTGAAATCTGGGTCTATAAACTCATCCCTTCCAGAGCTGAAATCTGAGTCTACAAACTCATTCCTTCTAGAGCTGAAATATGAGTCTACAAACTCATCCTTCTAGAGCTGAAATCTGGGTCTATAGAACTCATCCCTCCTAGAACTGAAATTAGGGACTATGAAATTCATCCCTTCTAGAGCTGAAATCTAGGCCCATAAAACTCATTCCTGCTATAGCTGAAATCTGGGTCTATAAACTCATTCCTTCTAGAACTGAAATCTGGGCCCATAAAACTCATTCCTCGTAGAGCTGAAATCTGGGCCTGTGAAACTCATCCCTTCTAGAGCTGAAATCTGGGCCTGTGAAACTCATTCCTTCTAGAGCTGAAATCTGGGCCTGTGAAAGTCATTCTTTCAAGAGCTGAAATCTGGGCCCATAAAACTCATCGCTTCTAGAGCTGAAATCTGAGCCTATAAACTCATTTCTTCTAGAGTTGATATCTGGGCCGAGTCAGAATCAGAGAGGGATCCCCTGGCTCTTGAGTTAACAGCAGATTAAGTAGCCCTCACCCTGCAGAACTCTCGTGCTTACCTTTCTAGGTCCCTGTCACCCCTTAATATTTATGCCTCCTACTCAGAAAAGCAGGCTATTTAGTTATGGTTTGAAATAAATCCGTTAATGGATTAAGAACTGAGAGCATATTTTGTTTTAACCCTATAAAACTTAAAAGAGCAAATACAGTAATATTTATCAATGTAATTCATGGTGCATTAGGAGTAGCCAATTTTCCCTTTTTTTGGTAAGAAGCCCTGGGCTTTACGTGACCTCTGGCTGGGTTCCTTGATCTACAAATTAGAGATTTATTAATTTTTTTTCACTTAAGACAGCATTCTACATCTTGTGAGGGACTGGGGATGAAAGGAGAGTGAACCACGGGTCCTGATCGCAACCAGCTTGCAGATTCGACGTTTGAAAGCTGGTGTCCAGTATCTTTCCACAGAAGATACTGCCCCAAATATAAACGAGTAAAGCAGAGGAGAGCCTTGATCTACTGAAGCGGGTGGGCACCCAGACCTCAGACACAGGCAGCGGGGGTTCCTCTCATCTCCTTGACTCTGGGGTCTAAAATCCCTTAGGGTTCCTAGGAGCACAGTTTGTAAATCCCCGTCCACCCACAACAGTGCTTTGGAACTGAGACTATTTCTCATCTTCCTTAGGAATCTCGGCCCTGCCCCACCAGTTTCGTGCCGTCAGAAACACCAGCTGTCCTTACTGCTCTCCTTTGTAGAATGAGATTGCTGGATTAAGCCATCTCCAAGATCCTATATCTTTTATTTGCAAGTGACTGAAGCCTCATCAAATATCTCAAACAAAAGGAAACAAACAAAAAAAAGAGGGGAGACTTATTGGCTTATGTACCTAAAAATCCCAAGAACACACAGGCTTCAGGCCTGTCTGCCCCCAGGAGCTCAGGTGAAACATCCCAGGACAGCCTCCCAGTTCTGTCTGATTCACCCAGTATTGGGGTCATCTCCCTGAGCCCTAGCAAAGTGGCCACCAGCAATGCCACTTAGACCCTCTAAGGAGAAGTGCTCCTTTCAAACAGGGGCGTAGAAGCTCCCAGCCTGTCATCAGGGCAGGGACTAATTCACAAGGATCGGCCACGCCTGGGGACACACTCAGCCCTGGCGCGGGGGAGGGGTCAGTCTCCACAGAATAACTCCAACTGGAGGAAAGGCTGGGCGGTCGCTCAAATGCAGTGGGCACGGGGTTAGGTTCCTGGGGCCGCAGAAACAAAGTGCCACGAGCCAAGTGTCTTAAACAGCAGGAAGGTGTTCTCCCACCATTCTGGAGAAGTCCAAAATCAGAGCATCGGCAGGGCCCTCTGAGACCCGAATCCTCCCTCTTCTCTCCCAGCTTCTGGTGGATCCAGCAACCCTCGGCCACCCTTGGCTTGTGGGCACATCACCCCGGTCCCTGCCTCTGTCATCACCTGGCGGTCCCCTCCTTGTATCTTCCCTTCTTACAAGGACATCGGTCATATTGGATCAGGCCCACCCTGCTCCACTATGACCTCATCTCAACTAAGATGCAACTACCCTATTTCCAAATATGGTCACACTCTGCGGTACCGAGAGTTAGGACTTCGACATATCGTTTTAGGGGACACGATTCAACCCATAGCAGGTGCCAATGCCAAAGGAGGGAAGGACATGGAGCAGCCAAGATGTCCTGCACGCACCCGGCTGACTCTGGCCCTGAGAGCCCCCTCCTCCCTGGTGTACCATGGGGCAGGGAGCGAAGCAGGAGAGACAGGGTCCAGCCAGTGAGGACGGCTCAGATCAGCCTCGCGGCCGCAGCGGCCCAGCCGTCAGAGTGGTGGCCTCTGAGCTTCCCAGGAGGGCCCACAGTAAGTTCCTCTGAAAGCTTCGGAATGACTCTCTTTCCTTCCTCTGTCAACCAGAGGCATAAGGCGGTTCACCCCGAGTCTCCACCGAGTGCCACGTGCTCCCGCCACCCTGGGGGAGGCACCGCGGAGCCCACGACGCGCCTGCCTCCAAGGGGCTTCCATCCAGTTAGAGAAATGAAGCAGCAAACAGACACTAAAGAACAAGGCCGGGGGGGTGGGGCCGGCCCCGTGGCTTGGCGGTTAAGTGTGCGCGCTCCGCTACTGGCGGCCCGGGGTTCAGATCCCAGGCGCGCACTGACGCACCGCTTCTCTGGCCATGCTGAGGCCGTGTCCCACATACAGCAACTAGAAGGATGTGCAACTATGACATACAACTATCTACTGGGGCTTTGGGGGGAAAAAAAGGAAGAGGATTGGCAATAGATGTTAGCTCAGAGCTGCTCTTCATCAGCAAAAAAAGGAGGATTAGCACGGATGTTAGCTCAGGGCTGATCTTCCTCACCAACAAAAAAAAAGAACAAGGCCAGGGGGACAGAGCCAAACGCTGCGAATCCCTCGGCAGAGCTGCAGGCAGGGATCACGGGGGTGCTCGCACGGGTGGGGTCTGATGGAGGGAGCTCAAGGCCGTGAAGGTTCAGAAAAGGGAGTGCAGGCTGAGTCGGGGGTCTAGGCTGGTTCTCCACCAGGTCTCCTTCCCGGGGCGGGGGGGCCGCACGGTGGTGCCTGTGGTCTCCTGAGAGCATAGCCAGCACAGCACATTGTCCCGGAGCACCCACAGGAACGCCGAGGTCCGGGGGTCTGGCCAGACCCCAGGCTCTGCGGACGCACCACTCAGCGTGTCACCGTTGTTGCTCCAGAGCCGGAGCGGGGCCTCACGGCTCTTTAGTGACCGGGGCAAAGCACCGACCCTCGGCGCCCGTGGCCCCCAGACAGCAGTGACCCCAGTGGGTGCTCCTTGAACTCTGTTCCCAGCAGGAATCTGCTGCCCAGAGGAGAAAAGTCAGGACGCAGAGCAGGAGGGTCTCCTCGTCCAGCCACACAGCAGGTCTGTTTTCGTTTTGTCTCTTGAATGTTGTTTTGCTTTGCTTTGCTGGAAGTGGTGCCATCTTTGGACTGTTTACCGTGGTTTCTCAGTAAGCACGGAGAGAGCATCCGAGCCAGAGGCCCCCGGGCGGCTCCCAGTCTGCCCCAACGCTCCCAGCCCCTCCTGCGCCTCCTGCACGTGTGTTCCCACGAGGCGCCGGCCCCCCGCTGAGCCTCACCGCGGGGACCCAGCGCGTCCCGAGCTCCCGGGCCCCCTCCCTCTCCCCGTCTCCTCCAGCGCCCACGTTCTTCACGGCCGCCAGGCCAGCCCTCTCGTTGGGTTAGAGCCTTGAAAATGTCATTTAACTCGTCGGAAAACACAGGTCTTCCACCATGCACATCTCTCCGTGTGCAGAAATTAAAGCCAACTGGATGACCACCTGCCGGACGAGGAACGCAGGGCCTCTCCACCACACTCCCTGCTGCCTCTGTGCCCCGGGCGCCAGTCCTCAGACACCCGAGACTCACGAGCGGCCCTCTGACCAGCAGCACGGATGCCACACAGGAACTTCTAGAAATGTGGAGAATAGCCCCTCCTGAACCAGAGCCATGTTGTGACAAGGTCTCCGGATTCGTGTGCACGTGGAGCTTGAGAAGAACTGGAGCCATGGGTCGTGGCATCGCTGCCAGGAGTCAAGTCACCAGGAGCTGTAAAACCTGGACGTTCAGGCCACACTCAGGCCACGTAAGTCAGGGTTCTCTGAAGCTTCTCAGGAATGACAACGTGCAGCTGAGCTCGAGAACCAGCCTCAGAGCCGCTGATTCCCAAACCCCACAATGCTGGAGAATAACTGGGTGCTTGCTTATAAAAATGCAGATTCTGTTCATAAGTCTGCCGTGCAATCTGCATTTTGAGCAGGCATACAAGCCTGGAGTGCAATCTGTACTTTTAGCAGACACTTTGAGAAACAATCTTTATGTGCTTCTGGGGACATAGAGCTTCCCAAGGGAAACATAGGCACAGATAATTTTAAGAAAATCCGTTTCCAGAGCCGCAATTTATTTCCAAAAATTGACCTTCCTGAGGATGCTCCTGTGGTCAGAGTGGCACACAAGCTCTCCAGTTTTCCTTTTCTTTTTTCATTTCACAATCCCCCTTCTGCCCAGACTCAAAGAGAGGAGGAAGCCTAGCTCTGTTCATGGAGGAGGTACAGAGTTCCCACTGAGATCAGAGCAGGGAGAAACTGTTCCAGAGTCAAACACAGCCAGAACCAAATGCTGACATCTATGTGCTCAAAACACCTTGTACAAGGGAGTGATAAACACAATGCCCAGGGCAGAGGTGTCTCCAGGAGGCAGGAGACTGGAGGGGTGGTCACTACATGACGTAAGTTATTAATAAATAAGTAGCTAAGCGTGGCCATGCGTGGACTAGTTATGAAAGTGTGTCAGAAACTACGGAACATGATGATTCCACTTCTGATGGAGGAAAATGTGAGGGACGGTGGTGAGCAGAGGAGAGACGGGTGTGCGGGCCAGTGGGCTGGGAGGGAGGCGAGGCACCTCGGATGCTGGGTTCTGACCCTGGAATCACGTGGTGCCTCCATCACCCCTCCGTACCCCTCTCAACAACCCTCTAGAAAGAACGCCGTGTCCGTCTCTGGCCACACATACAAAAGAACAGGCGCCGCCGCAGAGGTATCTTCGCGAGTGCAGCTCAGCTACACCATGTACTGCTGCCTCGGCTTCCGTTCTGCTTGGCCAAGGGGCCTGCGAGGGCCTTGAACCGACACCGCCCTCGGGCAGGCACGTGCCCTCGATGACAGCCGCAGAGTCACAGCAAATGTAAGTCCTGATGGCTTCCCAACAGCCTGGGGATCAACAGCCCCTGCCTGCCAGCGCCTGTGCCTACGTGCCCTTAGAGAAGACCCCTGGGGCACCGAAACCTCACTCTTTGGGCCTGCATTGACAAATCTGGCCCCAGCCTGGGAACCCCAAAGCACTCCGCCCACGGACCCTAATAAAGGCACGTGCCCCAGGCCCTGCCTCTCTGCCTGCACCCTGCCTCGACCTCCCCGACTGGACCCCAAGGCGTGCCATGTTTCTCCTCCAGGATCGTGAGGAATGAACGTCGCTGTTTCAGGTTCTCTTGCGGTCTGGTGTTGAACCAGCTCACCACACCCTGTGCCCCATTTAACAAATGTCAGTTTAACAAGGTTATAACATATACACACACATAAACCACAGAAGGCAGCTGTTGTCGCCAGGCCACGAGCAGGGAGAGCAAAGGCTCCAAAGGTCCTTCCCCCGCTTTCCACCAGCAGGGCCCCCGGGGCGAGGCCTGTGCCCAGAGACGCGGGACTGGCACTGCTCGTTTACACTCACGCAGCTCTCATCACCAGGACGCCGGGCCTGCAGCAGCAGCACCATCACACTTGAGCGAAAATCTGCTCATCAGCGTTTTAAGCCTCTCTAGGAGTTGGGTCGGCGTTAGTTTATAAATGAAAGACTACACTGCTTTCCAGAGACCGTCCCGAGGACAGTCATGGAGCCAAGATCAAGACGCCCTGGTTTCTGGACCCACAGCGTCGGCCCTGCCGGCTGCCCCGGCGGATGGTGTGGGGCCAGACGTTTGCTGGGAACCCTGTCCTCTTGTTAGCTGTGCAACACTCTCTACCAGCCAGGAAGCAGCAATTGGATTCCTGTAGGCAACACTAAACTGCACGCCTGGCTTTGCCTCCTCCCCGCACCATCGTCCTGAATACAATAGCACGACAGGGAAGGAAGCCAACAGGAAAAGCCTCCTCCCCGCAGCTGCGGCCCGAGGCTCTGGAACAGGGGCTGTAAGAGCGAGCAAGGGGTCTGAGTGAGGACGACAGACGCCCACTGCAGGAGAGGCAGAGTGGGTTATGAATCTGCTCAGGTCTCCTCCAGGGGAACAGTGTGAAGCCCCGTCCTGCCCAAGAAGGTCACCTCTTCTTCAGTCGTCCCGGCTCCCTCTCGGAGCCCAACCCACCCCTGACCTCTCTCTTAGTTCTGCGTGCTAGCCTGTCGAACTGTCCACAGCAGACAGAAGAATGTCCTCTCTAACACACTGTGCGACATGAGCGCTTCTGTGCCTCGGCTGCCTGCGGCTCTGCACTGCCCCCCAAGCACTCTGGGCCCCGCGCGTGTTCTCCAATCTGCAACAGCTTCCTGCCAGGGTCCCAACTCAAAAATGTGTGTGTCTGTGCGTGCGCGCGCGTGTACACATGTGTTCATGTGTGTATGTGTGTTAGTGCATGTGTGCACACGTGCACGCATGCACATTTGTGTGTGTGTACATGTTCCCGTGCACCGGGCTCACACATGGCTGCATGGCCTCTCTCCTTCTACTCCCCATGCCAGCCCACACCACTGGGCAGGAAACCACGTGCCCAACTCCCCTGGGATCCCTCTTGCCCTGGGGGCCAGTGCCTCTGGCCATTTCCTGCCTGAAATTGGGTGGGCTTCGTGTGACAAATAAAATAGAAACTGATATGACACATCAAGAGTCAACTCAGGTATAGTCTAATTTGTCCTGTAAATCATGCAATTAGCTAATGCAACATCAGTAAGAAAAAGAATAAAATACCTAGGAATAAATTTAACCAAAGAGGTGAAAGACCTCTATACTGAAAACTATAAAACATTGTTGAAAGAAATTGAAGCAGACACAAAGAAATGGAAAGATATTCCGTGCTCTTGGATTGGAAGAATTAATGTAGTTAAAATGTCCATACTTCCTAAAGAAATCTACAGATTCAACGCAATACCTATCAAAGTCCCAAACGACATGTTTCACAAAAATAGAACAAAGAATCCTAAAATTTATATGGAACAACAAAAGATCACAAATAGCCAAAGGAATCCTGAGAAAAAAGAACAAAGCTGGAGGTATCACATTGCTTGACTTCAAAATATACCACAAAGCTACAGTAATCAAAACAGCATGGTACTGGCACAAAACAGACACAAAGATCAATGGAACAGAACCAAGAGCCCAGAGATAAATCCACACATCTGTGGACAGCTAATCTTTGAGAAAGGAGCCAATAACATACCATGGAGAAAGGAAAGTCTCTTCAACAAATGGTGTTGGGAAAACTGAACAGCCACATGCAAAAGAATGAAAGTAGACCCTTACCTTACACCACACACAAAAATTAACTCAAAATGGATTAAAGACCTGAATGTAAGACCTGAAACCATAAAACTCTTAGAAGAAAACATAGGCAGTACGCTCTTCAACACTGCTCTTAGCAGTATCTTTTTGAATATCATGTCTCACCAGGCAAGGGAAACAAAAGAAAAAATAAACAAATGGGACTACGTCAGACTAAAAATCTTCTGCACAGCAAAGGAAACCATCAACAAAACAAGAAGACAACCTAACAATTGGGAGAAGATATTTACACATCGTATATCTGATCAGGGGTTAATATCTAAAATACATAAAGAACTCACACAACTCAACAACAAAAAAACAAACAATCCAGTTAGAAAAATGGGCAAAGGATCTGAACATTTTCCCAAAGAAGACATACAGATGGCCAACAGGCACATGAAAAGATGTTCAACATCACTAACTATGAGGGAAATGCAAATCAAAACCACAGTGAGATAGCACCTCACACCCATCAGAATGGCTATAATTAACAAGAAAGGAAATAATAAGTGTTGGAGAGGATGTGGAGAAAAGGGAACTCCCATACTCTGCTGGTGGGAGTGCAAACTGATGCAGCCACTATGGACAACAGCATGGAGATTCCTCAAAAAATCAAGGATAGAACTACCATATGATCCAGCTATTCCACTGCTGGGTATTTATCCAAAGAACTTGAAAACACCAATGCAAAAAGATATTTACACTCCTATGTTCATTACAGCATTATTCACAATAACCAAGACTTGGAAACAACCTAAGTGCTCATCTACGGATGAATGGATAAAGAATATCTATATAGATATAGATATACACACACACAATGGAATACTACTCAGCTATAAAAAAAAAAAAGATGAAATCTAGACATTTGTGACAAAATGGATGGACTTTGAGGGTATTACACTAAGCAAAATAAGCCAAACAAAGAAAGACAAATACTGTATGATTTCACTCATAAGTGGAAGATAAAAACAACAACAAACAAAGACATAGATACAGAGATTAGATTGGTGGTTACCAGAGGGAACGGGGAAAGGAGGAGGAAGAAAGGGGTGATTAGGCACACGTGTACCGAGACAGATGGTACTTTGGTGGTGAACATGATGCAGTCTACACAGAAATCAAAATATGATGATGTACACCTGAAATTTATATAATGTTATAAGCCAATGTTACCTCAATAAAAAAAGAAAAAAAGAAAAAGTCACCAACACACTGTAGTCTTTGGCCACATGAAGATCAATCAAATGTTTACAGCTCTGAAGAATAAATCATACATCAAGAGAAGCTGCTCACTGGTTCAGCCAGAACATTTAGAGGGAGAAGACACCAGTCACTTTGTCTACCTGAGCCGGGTTCCTGCAAGCGCTGGACCCAGACCTGGCTCACGGAATTTCCATGAGAACGCGGGCGACGCTTTATGGC